TTACCTCAAACCCTGGTCTAGGTTAAAACCCTGGTCTAGGTTAGTGTACCCTGGGTTATGGTTAGGACACTACAGTAGTTAGGGTGGTAGGTAGGCCTCTTAGCATGAGGACAGGGAGTGTTCGACACTTAGTCCTCCGGATAATTTTCCATCTCACCAAAGTCTGATACAGTAAATTGTTTCCGTTTAGAATCTTCTTTTCTTATTTGCTAACAATACATTTTGCTCATTATTTGTTTTACATACAGTGTATTATGACAACTAAAATTTACATGAAAACGATTGCATTTTATAATAAGCTATATATTTAACATTACATTTTGATGACGCAGAAGAAATTATTAATATGAGCGCTGTAAATTTCAGTAAACTTCACAATTAATCAAACATGACATAACCTAACCTAACCTATTACAGAAAACTTTAAAAATTCTAATATTTAAGAACAGGTGCCCGGGTTAAGGAACAGAGTAAACTTTTCAAACGAAATTTTTTTTCAGTTTATCAAGAACATTCCCCCAAAAATGGTGGAGGAATTATTTTTTTTTCAAACAAAACGATCAAGAACCTAACCTAACAACACTCAAATATCAGTATACATGTCAAACCTAACCAAACCAAAGAAACCAGAAGGACCTGACCCCCGTTGTGTAAACCTAACCTAACCCAACACGAAAAAAAAACTGAAATCGAAGTCAGATAACTCGAAAAATATATATTTCCGACGAAATCGCTAGTCAACATTTTTTTGCTCGATCTCGCAATATACAAATCAATATAGAGTTCCCTAATTCCTTGGTTGTTCTTTTCCGAATCTTAGCCCACAAATGTCGTAATGCAATACGAGGGCTAAATACCATTTAAGCCGCAATGCCATGAAATCCGAGAACCTCATACACAGTATGCAAGTTATGGGGAGCTCACTAGACCTGACAAGGCTTTTGATAAACATTTCTGTACACATTTTTTTTGGAGAAAAAGCAGATACAGATTGACAGTTAAAGAATATAATTCTGATACTGAATATGTTTTTATTATAGTATAATAAAAGTAATAAATAAATAAGTATGACTGACCAATGTTTTGATGGTGTGAAATACCGTTCTTAAAATTTCGTCCAACTCAACCTTACGCTCTAAAGTTATTTTTGTTGGGTTACAGTATGTTTGGTTTGGGTAAATTTTGTCATGCAGTTTATTTATTTTCTCATTGATGTACTATATATACATTTTATGCATTAAAACAAATATATCAATAATGATCCCGCAAAAATAATATACAGGAGTCTGGTCTTACCTCATGGTCGGTGTACTCTGCCAGCTGTTGTTTTGGGTGATGGTAGATCAGATATCACCAGTAAAAAGTCCTCATAGCGTGTGTCGCCTACTTATTCAGTAAAGAAAACAAACAAACAAATATTTCCAGGGTTAATTTAATCCACATTGCGAAAGAATGTCTTTTACGATGAGGCGAGGCAGCCGTCAACTCCTACACCTCAGCGGAGAGAAACAGATAACTATCGAACTAATCCCAATAGGCTAGACCAGCTAACATCGACTCGCCATCAGCTAAGAGGATCAAACGCCTTTTAATGAGCCCGTCTGGCACACAAAGAGGATCAACTCCGACTGTAATTAAGAACGTGACTTAAATTAAGAGGATAATAGAACAAACAAAATAAGGTTGTGGTGTGGGTTTACAGCGGCGGGAGAGGATTAAATGAGCCAACCCGTCTGAACCACTTGACTGGAGGCGGGGTCCTGGCCGAAAGTAAAGTGACAGTTCTTTATGTTGTTACGCTTAATGAACGAGAGACAGTCTTACCTTGATGAATTTTAAATACAATGAAAGTTAAACGCTTTGATTAATTATTTATAACAACATGGATGTAATCATACTGCTGAAGAAGACCGTAATTTACGGTCGAAATATAAAGTGCCCTTGATCTTAATTGTTTTATCTTCTATGGTGGGATTTCAGGGTTATGATTTATGTGGTATTACATAGATTCTTCACTTAATTTGGAGATTGTTACGTTTACCCCAAAGCAAGTTGTTGGTACGATGCCGTATTTGTGTTTATTTAGTAGTACAGGTAAAATCCTAGTTTTAAACGATAGAAGATAGTGAAGAGTACAATACTGTCAAAAAAAAGCAAATAGTCAACAGAACAGAGCACAAACCTAAACCGAAACGCATTTCTAATGATGTAACTTCTCTGTACTTTTTCTTCTATCTCTCGTTAATTACCTTTTCTTACGCTTTGGTTATATTTCAGTGAATGTCAATACAGCTAACTCATATAGTATTTACCTTACAGACGCCAACGGGCAGGTACGGGAGCTGGTATTCCCCAAGGGGCTAGACTTGGACCGCCCTAAGCGTGCCCGTACCACCTTCAGTGGGGACCAGCTCAACGCTCTGGAGAGGGAGTTCCGCCGTAACCAGTACTTAGTAGGCCGCGAGAGATCCCTCCTAGCTGCTAGGCTCGGCCTTTCTGAGACACAGGTGAGTAGGAGCACTGGGGGGTGACGGAATGAATATACAATTCGACCATATGAATGACAGACAAGGACAGGTGAGAGATAGATAAGGGCCAAGAGTAGGCAAGGAGTGTGACAGATGAGAGGGGAGGAAGAAGAGCAATGAGGTAGCTGGATAAACTAAAGACAAGGAGGGGTGAGGAAGTCAGCTAGAGACCAAGTGAAGGTAAGTGCAGTGGGAGGGGCACTTGGGGGTGTAGGGGAGAGGATGGACAGTTTACGGCCGGAGATCGTCGTATCCATTCATTCATTTCGTGTTTCGTGTGTGTGTGTGTGTTGATGTGGGTGTGCATGTGTTTTAATTTCATATCTTTGACGTGTGTTTATATGTCCACGTGTGTTTATTTTATATTTTATTTGTTGTTGCAGGTCAAAGTGTGGTACCAGAACCGTCGTACTAAGCACAAAAGAGACCGTGAGAGAGAACACGAGACACCCACTACCGTTCTCACATCCACTTTGACACCCACGCCTAGCCTCACGCCCACATCCCGCACCATCTTGCCACCGTTGCCCCTCACTCCACCCATCATGCCGCCCGCCACCACCTCCTTCTTCACCTTCCCGCCTGCTGCTCCACCCACAACCTCTTCCCTTCACGTTCCTACGTCTAAAATGTGCGCCCCCACGCCCACGCTGGCAGGGATGACACCGACGCCATCTGTCACCTCTGTCATGACGGGGTTCACCTCAGACGCCCGTCAGGTGAGTACAACTGGGCAAGGGCGTGGACACGATGGTACCGACGACCAGGTGCGCTGCTCCCCACCGCCTATCATCAAGCCGCCCTCTCCACTCTACACTAGGCCTATGGGCAGCCTTGAGTACCACATGGGTGTTAACGGAGGCATGAAGACCGACCCTGGCGCCCTCGTTTCTCATCCACTAGAAAAGACGTTCTCCAAGAGCTTACCAACTTTGCTGGGATCGTTCCACTCAGTCCCTCCTAGTGTCCCACCCTCGGCCTTCCGCCCACTCTTCCCACGCCCACTCCACCCACTCGCACTGCAGCATCATGCCCTTGCACGTCCACACCCGACTTGGTTACCTTAGTTGTAAAAGTTGTCTGTGTAAAATTGCTCAAAACTGCACCCATAAATGTTTTAACTCACGAGTATAAAAAGTCGATCACCATATGGGCGACGAGTCTACTGCCTAATATTCTCAGTTTAGTAAGAACTTCAACATGAGAAAACGCATCTACTGTAGCTACTCTTTCTACCCTATTTATGACGCAATATTTGTGCCGTAGCTTAAATGAGTCCGTTAAATGTGTTATCAGATTATCTGTACAAGCTGTTTTTACCATAATTTACACATACCGTCTGGTTTTCAATATTTATGAAAGAAATTGGAGGTAAATGTGTATCCTTTGTGTCACGTTTATTACAATCTGGGACTATTGATATAAATATGAATAACAGTGTACTGTAAATATTAACTACAGATAATGTACGCCATGTCTGTGGTCTGTTATATGGGTCGTAGTAGACAACCCCTTGTGTAAATTTTCTTCATTGTTAATTTAATCATCTGTATTACAACTGCAGTTGAATTAATCCAACTGATATTAAAAATTATACAAGTGTAGCTTATTACTGAGATGTTTTCATTTGTTGATCCTTCTATAGCCTCAGTACATGTGTAAGTTTACCAATTGTGTCATGACTAAGAACACACATCAGCCAGTCGTCTCAAGGTTGTTGAGCAGTGTTTATGATTATTGGCAGGGGTGAGGGTTTGCCGTTTGTGCAACGAAAGAGAAAACTAGTGCACGTGGAAGAAGAAAAGGAAAGAAAGGTGAGGGAAAAGGAGGAAAGAAAGAAAACTAGGGAGAGAAAGAATGTACTGGTCCCTCAAGACGTAACGTCCCAACGCTCACACCGCCACCACACAATCAAACCATCTCACGGAAACAAAGCTCTTTAAAACCCCTTGAATCTCCGCTCCATTACCTCCTTCACCACTTGGAAAATTGCTTACCCGGGCATGCAGGATATTCCCTAGCCTGTACGGTACTTTGAACCCGACCCAACCACCCGCTGATGATAAGGTTGGGGTTGTTGCTCGAACGTGTGGATTTTCGACTGGGGAAGTAATGCATAGTTTGTATTGTCTTGGTGGGCCCGATGGGGTGTCTGGGGTGATTAAATTATTTAATGCACTGAGATAAACGTTCAAATGGCTGGTGGACGGCAGTTGTTGAGAGCTGCTTATAATTAGTCGTCAGTTGCGTAGATGAAAGTTTTTGTTAGAAACCTTGATTAATTAACTGTTTAGAGGTAAGTTTTGGATATCAATAAGCTGTAATAAGTCAGCAGTTTCTTTAATACGGATTTTGTTTTAGCCAGTTTCATTGTCGGTGTTTTCGTACCACTTACCTGTACATGTGTACAAGAGTATAGACAATGTAAGTGATAAAGAAAACTAATAAGTTGGGGACGTAAACTAATGTACATGAATTTATCCATTTTATTTCACGTGTTGTGACCGAGGCGGGAGGGACGTCTTCACAACAGCTCAGCCACTCCCGGCCACAACCTCCCTCGCCTCACTAGCAAACACCATTATAAAATTGCAAATCGATACACCATGAGGGTCACCGCTGGCATGCTTTACATGATATAAACATTCTGTAAAAATAGTGTTAAAAATTTTCTAGTTCCATATGAGGTGTGTGAGACAATGTTATCTGGCGGTGGGTCTGACGACGGCCAGATACTTGCCAGTGTTGACGAGTGAGGTACAGATGGAGGACCAGACGCTTATAACGAGGGTGGCCATCACCACCAACCCCAGCAGCATGTACACCACGTAGGGCACGATGATCCTACTAGATCCCAGCTGCTGCTTCTCCCCGAGGCTGTCGTGGTCCAGAGTCATCAGTGTACTCATCAGGATATACAGAGAGGACGGGAAGCTCCATCGCTGGATGGGTGCGAAGATAGCCAGCCCTAGGAAGATGTAGGCCACCAGCAGGGCCAGGTATACGGGCCAGGGCACGCCGTGGGGCCGCCTAGAGCCCTGTCGGGGAGGAGGTGGATATCTGCCCCGTCTCTGTATCGCGGGGTTTACACCCATGGTTTGTTCATCTCCAACAGTCCGGAATTGAGAGCTATTTGACAGGGTATTTTGAGCACTGCCTGACACACTGTTAGTGGCACTAGAGGAACTACTGTGATCTGTATCTCTTAGTGTTGAGGAAAGAATACTGCTGGAACGGAGGGTGGAGTCTAACGCTTGTACGCGGGACTGCTGCTGGATGTCGGCTGTTCCACCCCAGAGTCTGGGTTTGGCACTGTTGGGTGGCCTTATAGAGCCAGGCAGTTCCCCTGGACCATTAGGCGTGATACGGACACCTTGTTCACCTCCGGGGCCAACACCCGCACTGGTCGAGCTCTGGGGTCGACCGGCCAAGTTGAGGGTACTAGCGGCCGACCCGCCTCGCCCACTGCCATACTGTCCTGCCCGCCCCTCCACTACTTGACCTCGTCCATCTGCGACCCTTGCTTGTTTGCCAAACCCACAGCGCCACGCCCACGCCTTTCCTACTCCTTCGCGGATGGTGAAGGCACCGCTGATGGCTAAAAGAAGGACGAGGGGCGCCCCGACCAGAGAGAAGAGTACAGCAAAAATGCGACTGAAGCCCGTGCGGACCGTCATGCCACTGGGACCTGGGGAGGGAGGCTCTGGTCATAATCATAACAGTGGCAACACGTCACTTAGCAACATTTATCATTAAAGAAGCAGTAATCACTAGCATACAGGTTGATGGGTATAGTACAAGTCCGCCCTACAATTATTGATAAATATCTATGTGAAGTACAAGAATACAGCAAATGTAGATACAGTTAACATTAAACCTATATATATACCATTTGCATAGTCTTTAGGGATGTTTTAAGCATATAATAATATCTAATTGATACTAAGCAAGATAGGTAAATAGTAACACAGAAGTGATTCAAATTAAACTACAAAATATTGGTTGATCTTTTGCGACAAACCGCACGGAGGTAAACAAGGCCTCGGGGAAGGTCACAACTACGTCTCCTGATGTTCTTAGTGGCGTTACACAATTAAAGAAGATAAGGATAAACACTAGAACTGTACCGTAGATGGCTAGCGAGATATTAGAATACATCAGTTGCTTCATCTTTTGTCAATATACTGCCGGTAGCCTCAAATAATTACAGTGTAGGTTCACATGCATTTAAATCCCACTACAGAAATAAATGGATCATTCCAGGCAGCCATGAATTTCACACTGCGGCTCTGTGATAGCCTATGTACTGGTCTTGCCAAACCAATAGTAAATTTGCATAATGGTTTTAATGAATTATTATAATTGTTATTATAATAATAATTATTATTATCATTACTATTGTTACTATTACTATTATTATTATTATTATTATTATTATTATTAATTATTATTATTATTTTTATAATTGACTTACTTGCTGGCCGTCCTCTATACCCTTCCTCCACTGTTGTTCCCACTAGTATCATTATAGGCCAAATCTCTTAGAGAACATACCGACAAGGGTGGTGAGGGAGGCGGAGTAGAGAAGGGCTCCAGACATAGTCCAGGTAGGAGCCCTGGAGGCGTAGCCAGCTCTCGCCGCGTCCAGCACGGCCGTCTCTAGCCTCTCCATGTAGGTCTCTATCTTGGTGCGCCACACAGTCTCGTACGGCAACACCTGCAGGCACACACCTCTCCGTCTTAGTCCACAACACCTACAACTAGGAAATAGTGTTATCTTCAATGCAAAATGCTACTACAGGAGTTGAACCATGTATACTCTGTCAATTGAGGAGTTCTTTAGTAATAGGAGCCGTTGCACCTACCAACTGGCAGGCATTCCCTCATTATCGTGAAACTGATATTAGCCTCCATAGCACTGATATGCTGTGAGCTTTCATGAGTCCACGCACTAGAGCTAAAGTCGGTGTTCAAACAAGCTGTCCAAAATGAGTCGCCGTCCTTGTAGCAATGTTTACCTTAACATGTCTTGCAAGTGCCCTATGTGTGTGATTGAGAGTTGTCCACAGTATTCATGTCTTGGCTTAGTAGTTTAACGCACCTGTCTTAACTCAGTGGCGAGGCCCAGCACTAGGTCGGTCCTAAGAGTGGCCATTCTGTTGACAGTATCACTTTCTGCTGCGCCTTCCACAGTAGAGAAGATGGCCGCCCCCACCACCCACCACGCCACCACCACTAACATCAGCCCCACCTGCCGGATATAAGCCTCAGTTACCGTATGTATGTATAGAAAGGCCGACTGGGGATGTACACACACGTATACACATACATTTGCTAAACTAGGATTGAAAGGGATTATAACATCGAAGGAACGTTAAAATAACGAAAAGAGGAAAATTTATCTTGAAAAAACTTACCTACTCGGTTTATTGCGTCAGTGTTGATGTGTACATTTTAAACCTTACTACTACTCACTATATTCCTACTAAGAGTGAATTCAAAAGCTCTTGGACTGGCTGTTTGCGAAATCACTCAGAATACCTTAAGCGTAAAAATCCTCGTAGGCTGAAACTTACTTCCAGAAAACCTTCGGGTGGATACGAACGGCGAGTCACTGAGGATTTAATTATCATGGGAAATTGTACAAAAAAATCATTCAGTTTATAAGGAACACTGGTAAGTCAGCCTCAATTTATGTACCTTAGGTAAAATAGTCATGAAATAAAAAAAATGGTGAGAGTCTGACAAGAGAACAGAAAAAGGAAGACAGCAGACGAAGCTAGATTAAAAAGGGCAAAACGATAAAAAGGGCAAGACAAAGCAGAGAGAGAGAGATAGAGAGAGAGAACAGCCAGGGCAAGATACCAGGGGGAGAGAGCCAGGTAGCAGTAGGCGACGTGTGGGCTGTGACGAGCCAGGCAGCGTCACGAGGCTGAGATATGACTAACCACAGTAATCAGTAAATGGCTTCACAAGGCCGCAGCCCCGCACACCTCCCTAGTTATTCCTCCGCTGAATCATAATTAAGATATAAATTAATGTTTCAGAATATAGGTGCGTATTTAAATGATCGGTGCGCTTTTGTCGTAAATTTTAATCAATTTTGCTTTTGTTTTCACAGTAACTTTCATAAGAGACAGTGCTAATCGTCAGGCCATGACTTGCTAACTACGGGATCCATTGTGTATCTGGCAGTTAAGGATGATAATACCTTCATAAAATATATCGAGATTAAGTTAAAAGGCATATAACTTTTTTCGGTGTCCACAACTTTTGTACAAAATAAAAATGTTTAAAACATTTACCAAGAGGCTCCAATTATTGATAAACTTATATAAAGCATTTTATTTACTCTTTTGTTCCCATAAATTTATTAAACTTTTTATATTTATTTTGTATTGAGTTTATTCATAAATTCTGATAAAAGGTATAAATAAATTTACATTCGGACATTCATTAATCTTTTGTTAAACTTATAAAATTAATGAATCGTTTTCGTATTCATACCAGTTATACTGTACACTAAGGTCATAAGACTCTTGTATAAACAACACTAATAATGATCACTATATTGGTCAAAAGTATTATTGGACTTATTCTTATAAACACAACACGACAGAGTCTGGTGATTTGGGGCACGAGGGTCTTTAAACTTGCTTAAATACATATATCATTAATTAGTTCAATGTGTGCCTTGCCTGTGAAACTAAATGTTAAGTGTGACGAGTGAAAAGATGTCCCTATACCCTCATTTACTTTAACCTAGTGACCGAGCGAGAGCAAGGGGTAGGTTACTAGGCTAAGGGAGACGGAGCACGAATTTTGCAGAGCCCGCACGAGGCCACTAAGCTGAGGAACCTTTTTACCTGGTGTATCTACCTGAGTGGCCACCAAGCTGACGAAATTGATGTACCAACCTGTGAGAGCAAGGCGCGGGTCACCAGGCTGAGGGACTTGGTGCCAAGGGTAAGGTGATCAAGGCCCTGGGTGGTGGGGGTGAGGAAGAGGCGGTAGTGTCGTGGGCGTGGAGGCTCGGGGTCAGTTCGTTTCACTTGGACGCCCGTGCTGCGACGACCAGACGGGATGAAGTGACAGGGACAGTTGCAGAAGCGAAGGTTATGGCCCCCCACCTCCCCACTCAGTGGCTGGGGGAAGGAGACGTGGTCAGTGGGCGGGAAATAATCCATAGGGAAAGTAACTAGAGGTATGAGGGAGATGGTCAGTGTGGGGGAACAGTGCTTGAGATGGGATAATGGTTAGTGGAGGTCAGTCTTAGTGGGAAGACTTAGAATAGAGTTCAAGGGCGCTATGGAAGTCTTGTCTCATGACCAAACATAAACTAAGAGATCTCAGTTAATATCAGAGTTCGTACTGCATAGAGTAATAAACGGTGAGCTGTAAGCCTGTTGTTGTAATTTTTAGTGTACCAACACCTTGCAGATGCAGAAATGTGACGGATGTTTGGTAAAAAGGTAATCCAGCTCACCTGTGAAGGCTGGAAAGCGAACCTGGTGGAGTTCTTGAGCACTTGTGAGTACTGAGAGTTGACACTAGATGGCCGAGACGGGACGTCGCCCACCACCTGCATTATACAATATTTGTCAGCAGTTAGACATACCCGTGTACATATTTTCTTCAGTGACATATATTATATATTGAAAGGATTATTGTTACTTGATAAACAGTCTTGCACTGTACATTCTGCTCTGAACGTGGGGTGAGTGCAGCCTGTATGGTACATGAATTAGGATTCTAAATGAACGTATTTTATAGGAAATAGTCGTACAAAAGTAAACCGTTATCAATTCTTTGTCTTAGATTTAGATATACAGAAATTAGTGCAACTTCAATACATACTGAAACTAAGGAATAGAAAGGAAGTTGCAATAATTTCTCAGTGCTTGATAGCGATTATACCTCTGGCTCCAGGAACCTGACCCTCTTCTCGCCGTCCAGGTCCCAGACGGGGGTGCTGCAGCGGGTGGAGGCGGGGGTGGGGGCGGCCACTGGGCGGTCGTAGAGGGGAGGGATGACGGGCGGGATGTAATAGTGGCCCCGTGACTCCATGGAGGTCTCCCCCGGGTAGCTCTGGTATAATTCCCCTTCATCCACCTGTTACAAATTCAGAATACGTATTCATAAATATCATTTACATACACAGGCATATCATTAGATATAACGGACAGGTGCCCACTTTCACTATCGCAGTGTCACACTCAGAAAGGACAAGGCATTATTAATACCTAAGAGCATAAGTATACTAAAAATTACTCCTTAATTATAGTCTGAGGATGTGTACTTCTGGTGACGTTGGTGTAGTTTTGGACTCGAACCTTGGACATAATAGTGGGAGGTACTCAAGCACCCTTCTCACGTGTGTCCTGACCAGACCATGAACTCAAGATATGGTGGATAGAGAGATATACCAACACCCTTCTCACGTGTGTCTAGTCTACGACACTAACCCCAGACGTTATACTGAGAGGTACGCACCCTTTTCACGGGTGCCACGGACAGACACGATTCCAAGACAAGCAAACTTGTGGAACAATAATTATTCAGCAATATAATCTAATCTTCTGGACATCTCTTAGAAATATTGATTTCATTTCACCCGGCATAAAAATAAAGTAATAAATTAAGAAAAGTTCAGTTCCGATAGTTCACAAAAAATTAAAAAATAATAATCTCCCTTATAATTACTCGCAGGTTGGACGTTCCTTCCTCGCTACTGCCAGCAAGGCGCCAAAATTAACACGTCTTCCCTAGCAGAAGGTTAACAAAGGGGGACGGTGGTGCAATTGTAGAAAATTTGATATTAGCTGTGTTCTTAATTTGTGCGCCGCTTAATTTTAAAAGAAAGTTACTCAATAAGATATTAACTATTGAAATAGTGACAAAAACTGAACCAGGGACGTTCAAAAGGATCAGTTTAAAAAATAAATTGATAGTGTGACTGGAGGACTCAAGCTGCCATCAACAGAGATTACGGTAAGTGCAAAATGAAAATTTTACCAAGTTATTCATTAGCTAAATATTATGAGTTACCCTCATTCATTAATGCCGTATGATAAAGTACGTACATGAAATAGTTTCTCTTGGTTTGTAGGACTGTAGAACTTATACAAATGAGGTCAGCCTGTTTTTTTCCGTTGACATTGTTAAACAAATAACGGAGTACAATTATTAAGTTTATCGGCGCCATTATCTTTCAAAATTGTTACATTCGTCGAGTTCCTTTGACTACAAATTTCTAGGTTACAAGTTTCAATGAAAATTTGGGTGGCCTAATTCTAGTTTAAAGACAAAGTAATCCATGTTGCCTCCATGACTAGTGATGAGAAGCCACCATTGAACTGCTTGATTTTAGCAAAAACGGATCACATCGTAATTCGGTACTAGGCATGACAGCACCTCAAGTTACTTGTGCATGTGTGGGTAGTAACCCACAAATGATATTGTTTAGCCTTCGGAACTTTTAACTTAAGATATGACGTTACTTCATCAATTATTTGAAGGACAACGAACAAACCTGCTGGGGCAGTGGGACGGCGGAGTCCGCGGCGGCCGTCGTCTGCGCATGGGTCTGGGCGCGAAGCAAGGAGTGCGCTGGTGTAGATAGACGGGAAGCGGCAGAAGCTGGGCGGGAAACACCTGAAGAAGGGCGGGATGCTGCCGACGATGGGCGGGAGGCTGCTGAGGTAGGGCGGGAGGAGTGGGGATAAGATTGTGAGCCATGTCCATATCCCTCCATCATGCTGGGAGCCGCCACGTATCCTGCACCATGTAAAGAACTTATAGTTTTCAAGTGTTGAAAAATTAATGGTAAAACATTATATGGAATTATTTCGTAATTAATAGGTTAGAAAATTATAAAGTAAAATATTCATTACTGATAAATAATTTAAATAGAAAAGATACTTATAGAGTTATTCGACATATATACCGCATTTATGCATAATGTACTTGAATACCGTACGTGCACACTCACATAACATTTATACTCACGCAAAGGATCACATAAATTGAGGCAAAATATATGTGAAGTACTCGGTAGTGAATGCTAGCCATCAATAAGCCCATTATTCATCTAGTTGACCTACCGGAATGAGTGTCATAATATGCATGTGAGGTTTTGCCGTTGCCGGTAAGTGGTGTGGTGCCGTGCGCCCGCTGGATCTCGTCGTCCAGCGTGTCCAGACTCCACGGTGTGGTCGGCCGACTCGGCGGGGTGATAGACTGAGTAACATTCCGGGGATCCTGTGAGGGAACATGTATTCTGAAGTCTTTGTTTTTCTTGCCAGGAAGATGAATAGATTATGTCCTGAGTGTGAAAAATAGAATTTGGGTCCAGGGAGTCTAATAACATGGGTTATTTGCTTTAGTAAAGTGGCATATAAAAAAAATCGTTGAATTAATTATTATGTAAGATATAGTAAAAGTACCAAGCGACTCCACGAATATCGTGGAAATTCCTAAATGCAAATTGAATTCTTTATTTAACTTGAAATACAGTCCACGCGAAATTATTAGAAATATAGATAATAGAATGCCTTTAAAAGTGATTGATGTATATGTTCCGCGCGAATTCGGAACCTTGCTGGTGGGGTGTAAGATAGAGTCGGGTAGCATACCTGAGATGACACGGTGGCAATTCCGTTACCACCAGTTGGCCCACATTCTCCGGTGTGGGCGTGAGGCAGCGTGGGCGTGCGGCTGAAGTGTCTGGTAATTGACGACAGCCATCCACTACTGGGCATCCCGTCTGAAACGCCATTCATGAATCACAGTTAATTGTTTAGTTATCGCTAATAAAAGTTTCCATTGTAAAAAATCTTTGTTGCATGTCATAATCGTTATTGTTGAGTAATCAGTTTGAAATGTAGAAATTTAAGTTATATACACGTTAATATTATAAGTGTAGGAAGTCTAGGTTAGGAACTTATAATATATTTAAAGGTTTAGTTTGAGTTATAGGAAGTATAGTTTAATATAACTATAAAGTCTTTTTATGTATATAATAAACGCGGTTAAGTATTTAGTTGTGCTATCGAAAGTTTTTGTTATAAATTATGTTCAGAATTAATGTTGCCAAAATTAGTTAGGGGTGTACGATAAACAACAAAAAACGGATTTCGCTATGTTGGAAATGTTAGAAAACGTAATCAGTTGTTCTGGTAAACTACGCAAAATGTAATATTCCAACATATTTACGCCTGAGTGCCTGCACCCTAAATAGTATTGTGAACAGCTGAGTGTGGATGGTTCAGCCGCTTATAATGTGTAAAGGGTACAAATACGACAACAAACTCTGAGCCATCACCACATACTACATATGGTGGAGAAGTATGTACTAACAGATACTTATCGACAAGGAAGTGCGGCTGAAAATTGGGCGGAGGCTCATCACACTGATTGTGACAAATATCCTCAAGTTCTCTTTTGCGTTGACCGAGAATTGAATGATTCTCAAAAAATCTAACCTTGAGTGAAACAACGTGACGAGATTTGTTTGTACGATTAACCACAGTGATAAAATTGCTGCTCCATAAGAGGTCACAGCCTTAATTTTACTTTTATCTTATTGCCACTGATCGGCTCGTTAGCCGCTTGGGCGGTTGGTCGGTCACGTCTCTGATACGCACTCTTGGCAAGTATTAGGCATGTGCTAGCTTCAGAATGTATCTGTACCTGCATCACTGTTGGTCAAGTCTGGTCTTGAATGAGCTCACACTTGGTACCGTCACAACACTGGCAAAAAGTGTTAAGAGTTTACAACCCTCACTCCAAAAAAGTTGGTCGCGACAGTTTTCTGAACCCGTGGCTTCTTCAACCTTAAAGAAGCTGTCAGTACAAAAAAAAATATAAGCATTAGCTCCTTTGGCGTGACAGTTATGAACGCGCTGAAAAAACTTACATTATGCGTTCATAAATCATAATCCATTACTTAGGAGTAATCATTACTAAAAATACAAACCTACGGTGTTAAGATTCGAGGCCCTAGATGATATTTATACAAAGTATGTCCTCTGCCTATAACATTCAGTACTTCAAAACGCTAGAACAGAATTGCATATTTCTGGGCGTTGGAATAAAATACTTTAACTTTTTGTCAGAATTAAATTATCAAAATACTACAGTAGATCGAGAAAGTAGACAGAAGATCTCGGGTAGATGTATATTTTACCCGACCTTGACAATTTCGCGGCGCAGTAAATATTTTCGTATTATCGTTGAAGTGGATGATGAAAGTGATACTAGAATTATTGTAAAAGCAGTGGATACAGGAATTCATGTTGATGTATATTTCATTTGACCTTAAAATACAGTGTGACGCAGAGACGTAATGTATTATATATTTGTTTGGTGTTGGATGTTGCCTGGTAGTATACTTCACTTTAGATTGAACGTCGAAAAGAACAGATTTATCGAAAGAGCAGCTGGTAGAGGAATTTAGACCATTACATTTTTAATATAATCTAAGATTCTTAGTGACGCAGTAACGTTGGTTTTGGTGTCTAATTGGACATTAGATGCTCATAACCTTTAGTTGTAATTTGAGAGCAACATATGAATTTGTGATAGAACAATCGGGAATGGAATTCTGGCTCATACTGTACATATTTCAGGTGACCTTAAGACATTTGGCGACTCAATAACATTATCGTGTGCAGGTGTGAGAGGAACCAGGGCCTGAATTCTCAGATTTGTGCGTTGAATTTGCCTTGTTACTGAGACATGAAAACACATCCATCTGGTAAACCAGCTGAAACATAAAGAGGTCCTAAAGGAAATACATATTGCAGTGAGACTTAGTCTGAATTAAATTTGTTATTTTGGCAGCAGTCAGAGGACAGTAGGTCACACGACGAATAAAAAAAGTTTTTTTTCACTCCAGTTAAGCAGTAATTACGTAATGACGGAAGTGCTGGTGGCTGCTCGTTTCTTGCTTTGAGAAAAAAAATATTAAATAAATAAAAAAGGACACCAGTTATTAAAGCTGAGGAGCAACTAATGGTATTTTAAATCGCCTGAGGTGATCAGTCTGCCTTAACGGATTTTAATGGTTTCGATTTTTTTTAAGTGTCAAGGATGTCTCCCACGACAAGAGGTTGGCAGTCACCCGTCTAGCAACATTGGTCAATTTACTAAGATGACTTTGAAATATGTTGTTATTGGAGAATGTTAAAGATAAGGAACGTTGAGCCTGACAGGAAAACAAATGAAGAAGTACTAAAATTAGCAAAAACTTCAAGAGAAATATTTTAAATTTACAGAAAGGGGAAAATGAGATACTTTATTCATATAGTAAGGAATGAGAGGATAATAACAAAAATATTAATGGGCAACGATGAGGGTAGGAGTGCCAGGGGAAAGTAGAGACTAGGATGGATGAATTAAATCTCGGAAGATTGGTAAAACAGGCGGAAAGCATTTAGAGTGGAGAACTGTGATCTCCAACCCTCAGATATGCGGTGAGCACCAGGCCGTGGAATGGGTCAGCGTTATGCATTTGGATGACTCACAGGAACAAGACAGTGACATGAGACGTTGTGATTAATTCGTCGCATGTTGGGCGTGACGGCTGTAACAGAAAACGAGACTAATACCCCTCACAACTATACCCGGGATACTGGGGAGAACACAGTGATCTCCTGAACCACGATTACACGTCCTGAGAACACATGATTACTCTCCCTGGGTCATTAACCTAGTTTTGTGACGGTAACTTGACGTAAAAGAGGTTAAATGTGGGACAAGTTGTATTTCTGACAGCCTCTCGTAAAATGGGTTAATATTAAGATTTACTTGTATATTTTAAGAGTAGTTAGGCACTAAGTATATAAATTTCTTCTATTTGTTTATCTCTACTGTCTCATTATTGTATTATATATACTGTAGTGTCACTATTTTCACTATTTATATATCAGGGCAATTGTAGTATTTGACTCGTTAATCGGAAACGATAAGGGCATGATGGCAGAGGTCTCGTTTGAGGTAAGGTCTTGTGGCCATCATTTACGACCTATCACACGACACAAACGGATGATAAAAGCTGGAAAAGGATCAAAAGACAGTGATGATTGGAAGCTAAATTTAGGCTCAAAAGATGGATCTCCAGGGAGGTAATAATGCTAGTGGTCAGTTAACGCTTCCGGTTATCAAAATCCTGAATTTATTTAAACTTGAGTAGACAGTGGAGGGTCGTCTGTGGATATTCTCTTAGCTTCCCATTGTATTTCTCCCCGTGTTCCTGGACTGCACGTACTGAGCCAGAGTATTTCCTGGCATGACTGGTTGACGCCTGCTTATTATTATTATTATTATTATTATTATTATTTTTATTGTTACCGGTATTACTAGTGTCATTATTTTCATTTTCACTTTTACTGTGAATATATAAAATAACGTTAAGCAGAGTCATCCTGTGGCTATCGTGCCATGGTGTGTGTCGCTCGCCGCCCTTTCATTAAATAATTATATACAAAAGCTGGACCTGTGGTAATTTACTAATCTTGAACTGCTGTATAACTTTGTGATTTCAGGATAATATTGTTTACCTAACAACTGGTAGTAAAAATGGTGAAAAAACTTATATATAATTTTTAAAAGACTGGTACTTTCAAGTTGAAAAGCTATATCAAATTTTACATGGAAGTTACCAGTTATTATTATTTTTAATTGTTGGCTTATTTTACGTAAGGTATAAATAGTTTTGAAGTACAGGACGTTGTTTACCTTTGAACCTTTCCTGTCCATTGTAAACTGGTTTTCCTACCCACAGCCCGGCCTCTTGAACCCCACCATCCTTCCTATCCCACCACCCATCCTCCCGTCTCCCTGGGAAATCGTCCAGTAGCATTTTTATCCGTGACACGCCTTTTCGTGTTGGATCTATTTACACACATACATACACACACACACTCACACACACACACCGTGGCATGACCAGAAGAAGGACCACACACACGCTTCTTCCTTCCGGGATTTTCTTGGAAAATCTTACGCAGAAATTCCTTATTGTAAAAATCCGAAATTTGAGACTTGTAAAATGCCAAATAACACGCTCGTGAAATTGGGAGGAAAGGGTCTCGGGGTAGAGGCGGCAGGTGAGCGTAGGGAGGAATGACTCATGTTTTCGGGGGCAGACTAGTCAAGGATTTTCGGAGAGTTTTAACGTAGCTTTTAGCCGCTCACCGAAGGTACATCAGTAACCTACCCTTACCTAACCTTTGAAGAGTAGGTTAGGTTCTAGTTATAGCCTCGTCAGCAACTCCATGTATACCAGTCCTGACTAAAGGAAGTATTTTTTGGTCTTTACGCGCTGACGGAGTTTGGGTCCAGTTGAGATTAAAAATGGGTTGGTTGTTTCGCGTTTGGTGTCGTAAACTGCTATTTTGCATCCAAACTACGCAGTTCCTTTCTCGAGCAGAAATAATTGCTAAGTGTGGTGCCAAAAGAGCCAAGCGTGAAATATATTTTGCATGTACAGTGCGGCCATGATTGAAAACTGAAGACTAAGTTATATTCAGCATATTATGGCATGACCCAAGCCAAAACAAGTAGACTACATGCTGACAGTGTGGGGAGAATACTCGAGGCCCTCAGATAGGCTGAATAACCTACACGCTGATCTCTCTTCAGTGTTCAGTTGATGGAAGGAGGGCCCGGGGGAGGCAGAGATAGGGATGGTTGAATGGAATTAAAAACTTTGCCTCAGAAATATACAAAACCTTAGACTCTTAGAGGATTGGTAAAAACAGC